AACGACTGCAAGAAGGTGGACATGTCCGTGCTGGAGATCAGTGGGATTATCATGAGCAGGGTAAGGGGGGGGTGGCACTGCAGCCTCTCCCTCACACTTCAGAAATCAACCACCAAAGCCCCTGGAAGTGGTTACACGTGCAAGTATCAGGTGCAGTACGAAACTGGGCCCTCCCCAGCTGCAAAGACAGTTGTTCCTAAAATTTCCCTAAACTCCAGTTCTTGAGGTCTGTTGAAGACTAATCAGCTGATGATTGCTGGTTTTCTCTGCAGTGTGCTGAGGGTGGGGGTTTGATTATTTATTGGCTGGTTGCTGTTGGCTTTGGACTGAAATGGGTGGGACTGTTTTAGGCTCTGTCCTGGGAAGGGAAGGGGAACTGACTGCTTGGCTGAGTGGCTGCTGCCACAACAACAGGCCTTTTCCTTGATGCAAAACCCAGGTAATCATCCCATTTTTGTTCCTGCTTGCCAGGTGAATGCCTACCAGCAAGGAGTGGGGTATCAAATGCTGGGAAACATCATCACCATTGGATTGGCGTTCCTGCCGTTCCTCTACAGGCTCTTCCGCTTGGATAACCTGGAGCAGCTCTGCTCCATTTCTCTCAAGGAGCTCTTGTACATCTTCTGTGGAGCCCCTGCCAGCGCCCCTGTCATTGTCCTGTCTGCCATCAACTTCCTGGAAAGGCTGTGCTTAACCTGGATGTTTTTCTTCATGATGTGTGTTGCTGAGAGAACCTACAAACAGGTGGGTTTGAAGGTCCTGGTGCCTTCCCTGAGCCTGGGGCAGGGATCAAACCCCCCCTGCTCCTGCAAAGACAAGCAGGTCTCAGCCAGCTGAGGGGGCAGAGCTGGTGAGGGAACCAAGGTCAGGGAGGGGAGTCTGGGAAGGCTCCTATTGATCAGTCACAGATTACACCTGTCAGTGTGTAGTCTGACCCCTGTACCCCCCTCTCACCTGTCCCCAAGGTCTCACCCTGTCCCCTCTCTGTGCCCAGAGAAGCTGTGGCTGCCTCATCCCTGGAAGTCTCCAAGGCCAGGTTGGACAGGGCTTGGAGCAACCTGGTCTTAGTAGAAGGTGTCCTTGCCCATGGCAGGGGGTTGTGGATGAGCTTTAAGGTCCCTTCCAACCCAAACCATTCTGGAATTCTATAAAAACAGCTGCTGCCATTTCCCAGAGAGGTCGAGCACCCAGGTCTCATGTGGGGCTTCCCCAGTCACCCTTTCTGCCAGGTACCCCTAACAATCCCAGTCAATCTGATTTGTTTTAGACTGATTTATGTGTGTGTGTGTTTTGTTTTTGACTGCAGAGGTTTTTGTTTGCCAAGCTGTTCAGTCACATCACATCTGCTCGGAAAGCCAGGAAATACGAAATTCCTCACTTCAGGCTCAAGAAGGTGGAGAACATCAAGATCTGGTTATCCCTTCGCTCCTATCTGAAGGTGAGTTCTGATCCAGGGTTTGGTGTAACAGAGGGTGTAACAGTTACAGCTGTTTGTGGTGAGTTTTGGCTTCACAGCTCCACATCCCAACCTCAGCCCTGACCCCGTGTCCTTGTTTCCACAGAGACGAGGCCCCCAGAGGTCTGTGGATGTTGTTGTGTCCTCAGTCTTTTTGCTGGCTCTTTCAATTGCTTTTATATGCTGTGCCCAGGTGAGATTTTAACCTCTCTGGTTTTTAAAATAGGGGAAGATCTCTCCAAGTGCTGGAGGCTTTTCTTTCACCAGAATACAAAGAGCTTTTGACCTGGAGCTGTTTGACCCCAAAGTACTGTAGAGAATGTTGCATTTTTTAAAAGCTTTGTAATCTTTAGTTGGAAGTAGAGATTCATTCTCTGCTTGCATGGGAAGATCTTGGGTTTTATAATCATCAGGAAAACTTCAGGACATGGGCATTTGGGCACAAAGGGGAGGAGACTCTGCCCAAGGACCTCAAGTGTTCACAGGACATTTTATTCCAGAGGGCTGATTGCAGCATCCTCTGTAACCACTGTGTGGAAAAGCAGCTCAAGAACTATTAGTTACACCTTCTAACCTTCCCTAAAGCTGTTGCAGGCAGCAGTGCTAATGCTGGAGCCATTTCTTGGTCAGTGTTCAGGCAGGTTCCTGATCTGAGGATGCAGCTCTGGTAGCAGTGAGGTTGATGGTTCGTAGATACTCTCACTGCTGTGACTGTTTTTGTAAGCCACAGGTTTCCAGAGGAAGGAATGACAATCCCAGTCCTGCTGTGTTAGTCCCAGTGAGTCCATACTGGGAAAGGCAGGAGCAGCTCCCTCTGGCTGGGGGGGGGTCTGAGGCTGCCAGTGGGACAAGGAAAGGCACTTTATTCCCTGTTATTTGGTCAGAGGGAGGGAAGAGAAAGAACAATTTTCCTTTTCTGAGCAGACAGAAAAAATCAATTCCAAGCTAAAGCCAGGTTAGAAACAAGACCTTTTACTGTGACCTCATTACAGGAATGATTTACACTTTGTGGAGGAGCTGCCAGTGCTGGAGAGCACAGAGGGCTGGGCAGAGGAGGAGCAAGGGCAGTGCTTGTGCACTTCTCCCAAGAACAGGCAACTTGCTATTGACATTGGTGCTTTTTTTCCCCCCCAATACAGGTTCTTAAGGGCCACAAAACCTTCCTAAATGCAGCTTACAACTGGGAGTTCCTGATGTGGGAGGCAGCACTGCTTCTCTTTTTACTACGTCTGGCATCTCTGGGCTCTGAAACCAACAAGAAATACAGCAACATTTCCATCTTGCTCACTGAGCAGGTGACTCCATTTAGCTTGCTCTCCCTTTGCCTTTGTTTGGATATAATTACTGTATTTGAAACCAGCTTAAACACTAGAATCAAACTTTCAAAATTTAGAAATCCACCCTTGTGTTTGGCCAGAAGGCAACAAAGCACTGTGCAGCAGGGCAGGGGTGAGCTGGTGATGTTGGGACAGACTCAGATTCTGAAGTTCTGGATGGTTTTTGTCTCTGGGTTAGCCAAAACAACTGGAAAAAGAATGATGTTATCAGTGCTAAATTCACTTCTTCAGGAGTGACAGCAGACTGCAAAAATGGCTCTGGTTTCCCTTAGTACTGAATCACTGGGGGGCTGGTGCTGGGATATCAACACCTGGTCTGTGGTGTCTGTCACAGATAAACTTGTACCTGAAGATGGAGAAGAAGCCAAACAAGAAGGAGCAGCTGTCTCTGGTAAACAATGTTCTGAAACTGTCCACAAAGCTGCTGAAGGTAAGATACTCTGAACAGCTCAGTTTTATGGAAGTGGTGCCTAAAGGCAATACCATGTGGCTCTTGATTAGGTAAGAGCTGGCTCTCACTCACAGAGGGAGTTTTTCTGTGCTCCTACAGCTGTGACATGAGATGGAGCAATACAAGACCACTGTGGTTAATTAGTGCTGTGAACAGACTGTGGATTCAGCAGGAAACTTCTCTGAAACAGAGTGGGAACTCCTGTACATGCATTTGAGAAAGGACAGAGGCAGCACAGTCTGTGGGAGTGCCAGTGTTAAGCTGAAAGTCAGAGGATGAATTGCTTTGCTCTTGGTGAATGTTAATGGACTCTTTTCCTTGTCCTTCCACTGCAGGAACTGGATAGTCCCTTCAGGCTGTATGGACTGACCATGAACCCCCTGATCTACAACATCACACGGGTTGTCATCCTCTCTGCTGTCTCAGGAGTCATCAGTGACCTTCTAGGGTTCAATATCAGAGTGAGTGTCCTGTATAAACCAACAGCAACAGCTCTGGGGGCCCCCCAAACTCCTCCTGCCCGAGCAGAAAGGTTTGCACTGGTAATTCAGTGACCAGACTCTGCTGGGTGAGTCCCCACCTCCCTGAGCCAGTTCTGGGGGGAAGGACAGGGCTGACTCCAGTTTCATTTTTATTCAGGTCAAGCTGTTAGAATCCAGGGTTCCTTCCCTTTATCCCAGTCCTCCTGTGGCTCATCCTGCTGGAGCTCACTGAGCAGAGCAGGATGGGGAAGGGAGACAGAGTCTCACCTGTGGATGTAGGACATGCAGACCTAAGGCTGTCAGACCCAAACTCACTCTCTGTCTCTTTGCAGTTATGGAAAATTAAACCATGAACTGACAGAACATCAGCCCTGGGCATCTCCACCAGAGAGAAGAGAACCTCAGGTGTGGGCAGAAAGCAGAAAACTGATGGAAATCTGTAATTACAGCTTTCAAACAGATTCTCAGTGTTATCAGAAGTTTTCTTTCTGCTTTACTGTTCTACACCACCCAGAACCAACTGGTCTCACCAGTGATGTCATCCCATGGCATGCACACAGAAAAACTGCATTAATGGGGCCAAATCCTGGCAGCTGGCACTGAAACCAGCAGGAACTGGTGTGGGACATCAAACCCTGAAGCCATACAAGAGCTGCAGCTGGAGGGACACCAATGGCTCTGACTGGTGCCACGTTCCTGCAAAACCTGAATCCTGGGATGTGACAAGGAGGGAGTGAGCCCTCCCATCCCAGTCAGCCTTCCTGGAGCTACACTGGAATATTTCAGCTCGATCATCCTTAGCTGCACTTGTCTGGCTGTGCTGAGGAGAGTCTCAATCCTTAAAGCTCCACGTGCTTGAGGCTTTGCCTCTGTCCTGAACCGCTGCAGGATGTGAATTCCACCTCAGGATGTGAATTCCACCCCTCCCTGCTGCCACTCCAGCAATACCAGAGTCCTGCTGTTGGCTTAGGCTGGGGCTGCTGCGAAGAAATGATGAGTATTTTTCTGAAAACATTAATTACAGGAGAAAAACCTCTGCAGAAATACTACAGGGAAAGTGTTTATGAGCCGTAGAACATTTTGCCAGGTCTGTTCCCTGGAACACTCCACTCCATCCTGTCCTGCCTGAGAACAGCTCTGGCAAAGACCTCCTCAGGTTAGTGTTTAGAAAGGGCAGAGGAGAGAAAGAAAACATTTTAAAGCTTCTGTTATATTTCCCTTCACTGGCTCTATCAGCTTCTATTTATTAGTAATGAAAAGAGCAAAAACTGAGGAACTTTTCAGAGCTTCATTCTTTCACAGGGAGGGTAAGATGGCAGAAGCATTTTTGGTAGTAAATTGTTTACAGCTATTTTCTGTACAAGGAAAAGTTGTGAGATGTAAAAGGAGATGACAATTTTATATAGCAAAATGTACAAATAAACCTACAGGACAAGTATTTCATCATTACCCACTGTTTTCTACAGGACCTGATGATTTTTATACCACCTTTGTCAAGCATTTGCTGTTTGAATGGAGGGGGAAAGGGTGTCAAGGAAAATTCCAATAATAAATTGCATTTGTTTTCCAGAAGAGCAGCATGTTTGTGGGTAAAACCTGGGGTCACACCCCTGAAAGCCAACCAAGAACCTGGTTTATACAGTGCAGAACCAACAGGCCACGAACTGGAGTTTGTTTTTAATATCTATATAAAAAATAATGAGCGATTTACAGGTCTCTCTCTAGTCAGAACCTCAGAAGTCTGTATAAAGGTGCTGTACAATATATAAACATTTACACCCAGTACATCCATACATTGCTCAGCATTCCAAGGCCACATGGCTAAGTCTGATACAGGAAGTACAGATACAAGGTCTATGGAAGGAGAAATCACACACAGGTAAGACATTATCACATTAACATATAGAAAAAATCGAGGGGAGTTGATGGCAGGGGAATCATTTCAGTGGTGCTACTTAATTCATCTGGAATTAAAGGTCTGGATCTGTCACTGTACTCAGTGGTCAGGGCGAGTGCACACAGCTCAACATAAACCACCCTCTGGGGAAGGGCACAGGGGAAATATCTACACAGGCTACTTCAGAGTATTAAATATTTCACAGTCATACTCCACCCAGGGAGTATTTGTACGTGTTATGCTACACAGCAAACCTCGATGGATCGCCCGGGGTTGAGCAGCAGAGCACAGTTCAGAGCTGCTCTAAAGCCTTTTGAATTCCCAAAGTCTTTGTGGAAAAGCTGGCTGAGCAGTCAGCTGTGCTTGGGAAGAATTCCACTCAGAACTGCCTCACTGTGCTTCATCAGCCTTTAAAAACATCCCATGTTTCAAAGCCAAAAGGAGGTATTTGCTCGTTCCATTTCAGAGAGCAAATCCTATTAGTTTGAGTTTTGAGTAAGTAAAGCTCCATCCTTTACTCCTCCTTCTGCAAACTGGACCAACGGGCTCCTTTTACCATTAAAACCCTAAACATGTCAGGAAATCATCACTAAAACTATGAATAAAATAAACCCCTTCAGCTTCTGCTGTTCTCACAGCTTTGGGACTGAGGTGTCAGGAGGTCCTGGTGGTCACATCCCTCTTTAAAACGTCTCTGCCAGCCCAAACCATGGAGAGCGAGCCTCCTGTACCCTCTGTGTCACCAACACTCCCTGATCACACATTCCATGTAAATATGGGAGAGTTCTAACATACACAGGCAAAAACTTCACTGACGAGGCTGCTCTGGCAGCTGGGTCTGTCTAAGGTCAGTTGTTACCTCTACAGAGGGAAAAAATCCAATTCCTAACTAGCATTAATTAATTAAAGATGGGGCTTCAGCATCAGCTCCACACCAAGGCCGAGGATTTCGTGGTGCCACAAGTGAAACCAAAGGAATTATGTTATTTAACAGAACCCAGAATTTTCTCTCCTCACACAAGACGTTTGCAAAGCAAATCCCTACGAATCGAGGCAATAAAGCAATTTTGCTGCGTTCAGAAAACGCAAAATTATATCAAATACCATTTTTATCGACAGGGTTTGGTATGGGGTATAAAAACCCCAGGAAACACATCAACTGAGCAGCATCAGTGGCTCGTTTGCTGCCCTGGAACTGACAGAACCAACTCGCCCATGTCCTTCCTGACCCAGCAAGAACACGTGGGTTTCCTGACGCAAACAGGCACCACGCTCGGAGAAAACACCCACCTCAGCCCCAACCTGCCTTGTCTGTGACTGGAATCCACGGGGGGAGGATCAGATTGACTGGATACAGTAGATAAACTTGGCACAAGAGCAGGAAGTGAGTCAGGATCACATTGGCAACAGAGGCATTAAATAACTTTGTTCAGACCTCACGACACTCGGAGAAGCCGCAGCAGTGCAACGTTGGGAGCAGCAGACAAGGGCCTGCACGGGGACACGGGGACAGCAGCTCATGGCAGAGTTTCACTGAAGCATCCAAAAGGTCCTTCATGCAGCTTAGATAATTTAAGAACAAATCAAACCCTTTCCCCCCCCCTTCCAACCAGTTTCTGAGACCAAAAAAAAAAAAAAAAAGAGAAAAAAAAAAAAGACAACTGTGTGAAAAGAACCAATGCTTTAAATGACCCTTGTTGGAAAACTGGTTAAAACATGTTCTAAAAAAAACAGTGTCAGTCAGTCACACCCGTTTTCCAGCCACTCCTGCTGCTGGGGTGCCCTTAGTGGGGACCCTCCACGGCCCGGGAGTTATCGGCGTTTTCCTCGCTGGAGAACCCTCGGGGTGGGAAGTTCCATCTTTGGTTTCATGGGGCAGCTCCACGTGTCTCCCTCCGTGGTGCCTGTTCAGCGTGACAGTCTCCTGTGGTTCCCCCCTCCTTTGTTTCTCCGTGGAAAGCAGTGGGATGTTGGACAGGCTGGAGGTTTTGAACCTGCTGGAACTTGGCTCTCCAGAGCTGGACTTGGTCAATAAATCGTCCTCGGAGGCGTTTCTCCTGCAGTCCCTCAAGGGAAGGTTGTTCCCCTCAAACGCTGGGTAGTGTCTCTCTGCAGACCACCCTTCCATCCTTCCTGCAGTTTTCTGCTTCATGTCTTTCCTGCTGACTCCTGGTTTACCAATCCCACCTTTCAACTGCTCCACACCACCAGTTCTGCCCTGGCTCCTTCCCACCATTTCTGCACTTCCCGGCTTCCCCAGGTGCCTGTGGGGACTGGCTGACCTTCCTTGATTTCCACTGGAATACTCTTTTTTGTCACTATTGTTCGTTCCTGTTTCTGTGGTTTTACTCTCACTCCCTCTGGATCTGCCAGGTTGATGTGAGAGATTGTTCTTTTCAGGATCCCCTTTCCTGGGGCTGTGGAATCCCCTGGGAGGGTGTCCCTCAGCAGCCCCCGACTTTGCTGGACTGGCAGATCTGTCTCTTCTGGTCCCTGCTTCCAAACTACCTTTAGTGATTCCAAACCCAGGGCTGGAGGGACATTCCCATCTGTTCTTTGTTCTCTGGGGAGAAGACTGAGGCTTCCTCTCACTCTGGTTTTCAGTTAAAGTGCTTATCTTGTCAGGCACAGTGTTCTCTGCTTGTTCCAGTTCCTCAGACAGCTGAACTCTGGTTAAAGCTTCTCCTGGTACTGGTAAATAACACACTTCAGATGGGGAAGCAGAATGGGAAGATGAAGGTAATGGTGACTGTTCTTCATATATTACATTTGACGAAGATGGATTGTAACTATCCCAATCACCTGGAAGTGAACAGCAAGAGATTTGACTGAACAACCACGCAAAAAATAATAATCACTAAATATTTCACAATTTTAGCACCTCAGCAGCAAATTACCGAGTTCAATTTAAGAAACATTATGGAGTGGCATATTCTCAAAGCCTTATTTAGCCAGATTTACATACTGTCTTTTTCTACAAGCTACAACAACCCTGAGGATGTGATTTTGGAAAAAAAAAAACACAACCAGGGCTCAGAATGCTGCCTGATCCCTGCAGGACTGACACAGGCTTGGATCAAAACAATTTTGGAGCCTACACAGCAAAATTGCAAAATAGAAAGTCCCTGACCTACATTGTTTAATATGAGAAAACTAAATGAACTGGAACTGTTATGCTAAAAGAAACCTGAAACAGTGAAAAGTCAAGGTTATTCATAGCTTTGCACTTAAATAATAGGAAGAGATGGAACACAAGACATGCAGATTTACCAAGTCTTTAAGGAAAAACCAAGAAAAGCACTGAAAGCCCTTAATGTTGCTCAGGTTTCACGTAGGGACACAGACTGGAAGGAGCCAAACCTGAAGGAGGAAGAGAAAAAGCCCAGAAGTACATACCAAAAAAAATCACAGAGTACAGCAAGCAAGATTTCAACCAGAAATGTGGGATTAACAGCAAGGCAAGAGGCAACAAACCCTTCCCCACTCCAGCACCTCCTTCACATCCCAGCCCCCACTCTGGACAGAGGGATGGGTGGGATGTGCTCCAAGAGGTTCCCTCAGACTTTTGGTGATTCTGTGTTTCTCCCTCAAGCTCAGGGGGTTTCTGTGAACAAAAGGGCCAGGAGTGATCCCAGATAATCCCTGCACATCCCTCATGGATAAACTCCACTGGTCACTGCTGGAGTCAGATGTTGGGGAGGAGAGAGCAGGAGGCACCTCCACGCTCATTTTAATGGAAATGTCATTTTAAAGAGAACCTCCCCATGGCATTACAGAACATCCTGAGCTGGAAGGGACACACAGGGATCACCCAGTCCAACTCCTGGCCCTGCCCAGGACACCCCAACACCCCACCCTGTCCCTGAGGGCATTGTCCAAACACTCCTGGAGCTCTGGCAGATCTGGGGCTGTGACAGTTCCCTGGGGAGCCCGTTCAGTGCCCGACCACCCAACCAGAAGCTCATCAGAGCACAAGGCAGACTGTATTTAACTATATTTAACGATATTCAGCTTTCCCCCTCACTGAGGAGGTGATTCAGGGTGAGAGCCAGGCCCAGGCAGGCAGGGTTTGTGCAGGCTGAGCCCAGCCCAGCACAGATGGGCTGTTTCCATGCCCTGCACTAATTCCCTGCTTTCACTGTGCTGGGCAGGTCAGAGCACGGGGATGTTCAGGGCCCTTTTCAAGCTCTCAGGAGGAAAGAAATGGAGACAGCTCTGAGCAGATTTTACCCCTTGAGTGAACATCAGTTGCTGCCTGTAAATGAACACACAAAGTATTTGGGAGTTCGAACTGCGGGTTTGGGATTTTGAAAGGATAAACTCAGGGTTGGGACTGGGACTGAAAAGTTCTTTATCGGAAAAAAGCGACCCTCCAATTTAGGAAGTTCATCATGAGCACCCTGGTGGCAACATCAGGGGATAAAAGACTAAAATGCATATTTGGGAATCAGGTGCTCTTTGCTTTAAAATGCTGCCACTGCCACAAGTCTTTGATTTGCAGTTTTGGGGCCCTGGCAGACCCCAAATCATCAGTTCTGAGCTCTGTGGCTCCTGCAAGCGTTTGCTTTGCTGTCCTTCCTTTTATCTGGCCTATGAAATTGTCCTTTCCTGTTGCAGAGGCAAAAATCACCTTCAATCAAACCAAATCCCTTTGGAGAACAAAGTTGTCCCTCTCCTGCTTCCTGAAGTTTTGGTTTTGAAAAACAAAGCATTCCATAACTTAGAAGGCTAAAAACTGAAATGAATCTGTACAGAAATCATATTTTGACAATACAGGCATTTTTAACTAAGTACTGTAGCATAGAGAATTTTAATTTAAATTAAAAGGCAATCAGAGTTAATCATTTTTATAGGGAAGCTTGATTAGCTTGGACAGAGCTGAGAAACTTATTAAAATATGGAATAATTTCACAGGGTTTTAATATTCCTAAATACTTGTCATGTGTTAATTGTACCAAAAATACTCCTCATCTTTTAAAACAAATATTTCTATTTTCTATTTTTGTATTTTAATTTTTAATTTAATTCAATAATAAATAAACACTTGCACAGCTGTCACAAAGGGAACTGCCAACTACTGCAGTGAACAAGCACCTGAATCTGCTTATCCCACTTTCCTCCCCTGCCTTGGACAAAACCAAACAGCCCTTGAGACAACATACTGTGATCTGGAATCAATCCAGTCCCTGGTCTCAGCAGCAGCAAAACTTTATTCCCTCCAGCCTGAATCAGCTCAATGGCTCGTGTGTGAGTGATTCCTTGGGTGGGTTCTCCATTAATTTCCACTATTTGGTCACCAACCTGAGGAGAAAAGAGCAAGCAGGTGAGTCTCTGGGAATCTCTGACACTGTTAAAGTGGTTTTTAGCTTAGAAAGAAAAAATTAAATAATAGAGGCAGATGCTTCTGTTTTCCCTCTTGTGCTGAAATCCACTCAGCAACAGTGACACCCCTCCAGGGGTGATGAGCAGGGTGTGACCCAGGGCCCTGGGGGCTCACAGGTCACACAGGTCGTGTCCTGAGCCAGCTCAGGGAAAGAAAGTCTCAAAGTTCTCATTACTGACACGTTCCACCACTTATTCACAAGGGATTTTTATTTACAAGTGATGGTGTTTATTTTCTATCTGCTATTCATTTATAAGTGATGGGGCAGATCCCAGGAGGTGCTTGAATGTATTTTCCTTCTGGATCGTGGTGTGGAGGGAGCACAGGGATGAACCACACCTGAGTCACACCTGAGTGAGGTCACACCCCCCAGGTGAGGTGAGGGGCACCTTCACCCAGTGCACAGCTCAGGGCACAGCAGGTGGAATGGCAGGGAAGGAATTGTTATTCCAGGCAGGAGAGATCAGTGCCGAGGTCTCTGAGGCCAATTAACAACTCACAGAGGTGCTGGGCAGGCAATTCCAGCTCACACCAACCCCACAGGCTGCTGGAAAGGGGTTGGAATGAGCATGAAAAAGGGATGTCTGTTTGGGAAAATAGGAAAAAGGGAGGCCTATCTGGCACTGCCCAGAACAGCCAAGGGATGTCACTGCTGTGTAACAAGAGCAGCTCGAAGAGACTGTCCAGGCTTCCTTAAATAAACTCTGCCAAAGGAGGTCAGTGCTGGCTCAGGGTGGGACAGGGACACGCTGACAGCTCAGCTGGGTGAGAAATTCCTCTTCAGTGCGTTAAAAGCACAGCCAGAAAGCGACACCGTGTCCAGATGAGGAGGGAGACAAACAATGACAAGGGAAGTGTGAATCCCCTGGGGCTGGGAGAGCTCAGCCCCTCCGTGCTCTGAGCCCAGCTGGGACACCGAGCTGGGGACACTGAGCTGGGGACACTGAGCTGGGACACTGAGCTGGGGACACTGAGCTGGGACACTCCATCCCTGCACAGGGAAGGGTGAAGGGCCAGGGGGTGGGAAGGGCCTTTACAAAAGGCTGCTGTACCCACACCCCACGTGGAAATCACTGGGGGAGCTGGAGCTGGAGCTCTCAGCAGGATTTTGCTGCCTCAGTCCCCACAGAGCCAGGGCACAGGTTGTCTGAGTGACACAGGGAACAGTCAGCTGGGACCTCAGAGAGTCAGGGAATATCCTGAGCTGGGAGGGACCCACAGGGATCATCCAGCCCAACTCCTGGCCCTGCACAGGACACCCCAAAATCCCACCCTGTCCCTGAGAGCATTGTCCAAATGCTCATGGAGCTCTGGCAGTCTTGGGGCCGTGCCCACTGCCCTGGGGAGCCTGTTCAGTGCCCACCACCTCTGGGGGGAGAACCTTTCCCTGAGATCCAACCCAACCCTGTCCTGGCACAGCTCCAGCTGTTCCCTGGGTCCTCTCTCTGCTCACAGACAGCAGAGATCAGTGCCTGCCCCTCACAAGGAAGCTGCAGACCCTGATGAGGTCTGACCTCAGTCTTTTCTTCTCTGGGCTGAACAACCTTCTGGTTGCTCAAAAAGCAAGCCCTGGAGCTCAGTGTGACACCACTTAAAGAAGGAAAACAAGAGAAAATATTAGCACTGAACACCACACTTGTGTAGTCTCTGAAGCATGAGGGGAAAAAAACCTCATTGATGTGAGGAATTGGATAAGAGAAGTTAACAATACTTAGAGTTCCACATCCAATTAAGCCTCACAGCAAGTATCTGTATCAGCCCCATTCTGCAAATATAAACAGAGGCAGAACCATGTGCCAGTGGCCACAAGTGCAGGAAGCACCAGGACTGCAGTGGGATGGCATCTCATGGGCACCTGGCTCAGCTCCAGCCTCTGAAAATCCAGCTCTGGGAAGTAGCTACAGAGCCTCACCTACCACCATTCTTTGCTACTGTACCCACGTATTTGGTTTTATTACAATACCTGAGAGTGAATTCCTCCCACAAAGATAAGAATTAACATAACATTTTGAAAAAAAATTAGGTTTGGATCCCCAGAGATGGCCCAGAACGGCAACAGCACAATGTTCACACACATATTCCTTAAAAATTCACTGACTTGGACACTGATTCTCCTTTCAGCTCTCTGTTCCTCTGTGCAATCTCTTGCTGGAGTCCTAAAGTACCCTGAGGAGCTGGGTCAGGGATGTTACTGGAACTCAAGCAAGGCTGGACAGTTCCTTTTGGATGCTCATGGAGCTGTTCATGGATCTCTCCTCTCAAACCCCACAGCTGTCACCACACAGGGACAGCTGGAAGAAGGGCAGAGGCCCAGCTGCTGTTCTGGGACCCTGTGCTCATGGAAAAACCAAGTTTCTTGCCACTTCAGGTAAATTAATGCGTCAACTTGATCAGTAAATTGATCAGAGAAGCCAAACTCACGTGCACTCTCCCGTCCTTGACCGCTGGCCCGTCCTCAGCCAGGCGCAGGATGAACAAGCCCATGTTATATTCCTTCCCTCCTCGGAGGCTGAACCCAAACCCTCGAGGGCCCCTTTCCAGCTCCACTGGGAAACAGCCAGGACTCTGTGAGGAGGAAAAAAAAGGGGAAAAAAAAAAACAAAAAACCAAACCCGAGAGATGAGGACCTACAGGCAGATTTAAACATTTGTTTCACACATTTCTGTATTTTGAGATATTTTAAACGGAATCCACCCCAGCTCAGGTGTGACTCGGGGTAATGGTTCCATTCCAAGTCTAAACACACAGAACATCCTCCCTTCTGAGAGATGAATAAAATCCTTCCTGAAACTTTGCCAAAAGGGTCTGTAGTAGCTCCATGACAAGCATTTTCTGTTTCTTTCACAATTAGAATGAGAATTCCCTTATCCTAAGGAGATAATCAAATTTAAAGCATGGGCAAAAACACTCCGTGAGACGCTTCAGTGCGTTTTTAAACACAGCTTTTCTACCCACATCTGACAGGGAAATGTTTAATTGTCCTGCTTTCCAGAACTCCGTGGCAATGCCACCGATGGATGAGTATTCCACGTCTCCACACCCTCTGGATGGGCTCCTGTACCTGGGAATGACGGCCAACACCTGGAGCAGCATCCGACTGTGCCACGTGCTTGTGCTCGGGCCAGGACAGACGGTAACCACCGGAGACTTCTTTTCCAGCTTCACCTTCTGTGGCTCCCCTGTGGAGAGGTGAAAGGACATGGATTTTACCTCCACACCAACCCCTCTGCCCAAGCTTTTCCCGCCGTTCCCAGCCCCGTTCCCAGACCTGTCGGCGCCGGGGGGGTTGATCTGTGCCGGTCCCAGCGGTCGGTGCTGCGGGGCCGGGCTCTGCCGGGCTGAGTTCGGCCCCGAGGGAGGCCCACGGTGCTCTGAAATCCAAACACACCAACAGTCAGATGTCCTAGCTAGAACAGCTGGGACCAGTTCATCACTGGATGGGTGTAACCCCAAACTGGGTATTCTAGAGCCTTCCATGCCATTGCCCAGAAACTGTTCTCAATAGACCATTTACACCCTCTGCCCAGAGCAGCCCTGACTCCTCAGGCTGTAAACTGGGTGTTAAGAGGCCTGTGAGATAGGAGGATGCTCCTGTCCTCATACCCATTGTGGAACTCCCCACCCTGAGGGAGGTACTGGGCATTCCTGCCTGAACCAGAGGATATATAATCTGGGAGTCTTGGGACTTTTTTTAACTACTCGTGGGATCCAGAGAAGGACTGTGACCACCACTCTCAGCCAGACTGCAACCACCACTCTTGACCAGACTGCACCAGCACTCTCATCAACAGGTTTTTTCCCTCTCCTTTTCCTTTGGACTCAGGGGGCCCAAAGAACACCCCTCTGTTCATGCCCCAGGTGCTGGGTTATACATTTGGGTTTTGTGGGTTAAAACCAACTGTTTGTCTGTATAATTGTATTACTGTATTATTTTATTAAATTGTTATTCTGACTTATAATCTCTCCTTCGAGTTGAGTTCATTTCCCCTGCTGGTTTACCTTTAAACCAGCACACAGACCTTCCCAAATCCACAGCTGGGATCACAGTGACCACCAGAGCTGCTGCTGCTCCCAAGGAATCCACCAGTGGCACCTCGGGCTGAGCTGAGCTCGCTCACACAACAAGGATTTTCCACTCCAGGAACACAAGTGCAGCTCGTTGGTTCCATGAAATAAACCCCTGTTTTTATTCTTCTCTGTTTTTATTCTTTCATTCTGCTTTCCCTCAGAAAAATAACACAGTTTTACGGATCCAGACACGGACAGAAGGGTTTTGAGGTGCTAAAGGCCAGAAGGGATCAGGGGTGGTCAGGTCCAATATATGGGATATTCAATGTAATAAAATTTTGCAAGGGATTAAGAACAATGTCCATCTGAGAAACATCACTTTGGAAAGGTAAGGGACTGAGGATCTGCAGGATCAATGGGAATTTGGAGGTGAAGACCCCAAGGAAGGAGGGAAACTGCCAACTTATTTAAGGCACCACAGAGTTTTCTCCTGCCCAGCTCCAGGGAAGGTGAGGAACTGGTGCCACAGCCACACTGGGGGATAAGTTCACTGGCAAATTATCAACAGGGATTTTTAAAGTGCTTTGCCTTCTCCCAAAAGCTGAGTATTAAATTAAAGTATAGCATTTTAATAAAATATTTTAAGATAGCCTATTTTCCCTTCCACGGAAAACAGTGATTGTGCACTTTTAAATCCACTGAATTTATGGACAAAAAACATGTTTCAGGACACAAAATGACTCTGCCATTTAAGAATAAGGAACCACAGTCCATGCAAAAAGCTGCCTCTTAGCTAGAATCTGAAGGGCAAAGAGTGGCCCAAGATGAACTTCTGTGCTGAATTAAAAACTAATAAACTCCTTTTTCCCTATGAGGGTTAAAATAATAAACCCAAGCACCAAAACTAGAGATGTTCCAGCACTTTTAGGTGCAGCACATTAGTGCATTTCCTTATTAAGAACAAAAAAATTCCATTAAAATATAAAAAGTGCTCAACCATCTTAAGGGAAGGGAAATTTAAAGCATATTAAACTGAATTTCTCAGGTATGTGAGGCCTCCCAAGCCCTCCACAGGACTGCTTGGTGCTGCTCCTGTGACATGCCTCAAAGAGGTTTTTCTCTAGAGACAGAATGTCAACTTTTACTCCTGGTTTATCCTCAGATTTTTAATTTAGAAGCACAGGCAAGAAAAATGCCATCTGTTTGCAGAAATCCTGCAGCCTGCTCTCGTGTGTTCCCAGCTAATGCATGACAAAAGCTGACAGGCTCCTGCTTTGGTGAAAAATGTTAAAGAGTCTCTCCTGGTGCACGAAGGGGAATTCGTTTATTCCCAGGAAAAGCAAAGATCACAGGCCTGGGAAGGCTGGGGGGGACCAGGCAGAGGTTTTATTGCCACTCTCAGAGTGCTGGGGATCAGCAAACCTGATCAGGATTTGTGCTCTGTGAGGCTGAACAGCTTCCAGAAAAAAGAGCATTTTGGTGGTTTTTTTTTTTTTTTTGGAGCTGCATCCTGCATTTCCCTCAGTGTGAAGCACCTCTCTGAGGTTCAGCTCCCTCCCTGCAGTGCCTAACTCACTCCCATCCAGCTGGATCTCTCTGCTGCACACGGGGCTCTGCTGGGAGCTAAACTCCATTTCTCCAGCTACATCAAGGAGAATTTTAAAGTGGAAATATATTCCCACTTCGGTGGAGCAGGTTCTGCTTCTTTCTCCTTCATTGTCACGAAATCCTTTACATCTCAAACACGCCAACTCCAGCTCCCCTAAGCCACAGATTTCTTCTGACTGATCTTCACTCTGCTTTCACCACCTGCTACTGAGGGTTTTTTTTCCCCTCTCTTTGTTGAGTCTCCACAGGTTCTGGTTTTATCTCTACATTTTGGCTGCAAATCTATAATTGAGGCAGTGGGAAAAAAGTTCTCACACAGAGTCCAGGTAAGGTCATGCCTAAATAATAGGTAAAAACATGATATTCAGAAAACTTATTCTGAAAACAAGTGGAAGGTGTCCCTGCCCGTGGAAGTGGGTGGAATGAGATGGTCTTTAAGGTCCTTCCAACCCAAACCAGTCTGGGATTCTGTGACTAAAAGCTGCAGAGAAACAGATCTAATTCAACCAACTCGAACTTCAGTTGCTTTATAAACATCACCCTGGGCAACTGCTTTGAAGTGTGTCCCTTCAAACTGGAATGAATCAGATTCGATAAAAATAAAAATCTTAATAGAAAAATAACAATTTACAGAGGTCTCTCTGCTTCGAGCATTGACAAAAAGGAACATTAAGTCTTTGAAATTCTGTGTTACAGGCTGAGATGGCACGTTAAATATTTGCAACTAATGTGAAATTAGAGAATTATCTGCTGGCGTTATTCACAGTCTGGCTTTAGGTATTTATTATTTAAAAGGTGAAGGAAGCCAACTTTCTGACAAAATAATGATAGGGAGTTTAATTAAATCCATAAGCAGCAATCCAGAGAAATGCAGGGTTGGAAAACAGCTTTTCTCTTCAAATGATTGGATTTTACATATTTGTAGTGACCTGTTTGCATAGAAACAAACCTGTGGTGCCCAGTGTGGTCTGGGAGCTGACACCAAAAATAGTCCCTAAAGATGGGACTTTGCAGCCCCCAGGACTTACTTTGCTGCTCAGGTGACACAGCAGGTTTTGAAGGTGAAGGATTTGCAGAAAGACCCTGTCAAGGGTTTTCCCCCACGTGGTGGGATGTGACCCTTTGGCAGCCAGAACCACGGGATGTTTCTGTTGTATCCCAGGGGTGCAGCTTTAGGGAATCTGCGTGTTTGAACGTGGAAGGAAGGAAAAACTCAGGGGTTTAAAGGGAGAGATTTGGAAAGCAGGAATCCCTGTGGCCTTAGGGCAGGGACAGAGGATCCTGGGAGCAGCTGCCTCATTGGGAACAAAGCTCATTGGGAACAAAGCTCTGGCAGGACTTGCAGCAGCAAGAAATGGGCGGTGCTGGGGTGCAAGATTTTCTCTCTGAGCATCATCCCTTGGCTGCTGCAGCCCCCTCACAGAGGTCATTTCTCCTCAGTTGGAGAACACAAGGCCTGGACAGGATGTATTTCTGTGTCAGCAGCACTTTTTTCTCTCTCACACATGAGAAACCAAGAGAATTTCTCTCACTCTGCATCGTGTTGTTAACACTTCTATCTTTTTTTTTTTTTTGGGTGCAATCACCTTGGCAGCTGCCTCTCTCTGCTCTGCCTGCCTTCAGCTCTTCTAGAGCAAACAAAGGAGCTTCCAGGTGATTCAGCTTCCAGGAGCTGGACTCGATGATCCCTGTGGGTCCCTTCCAACTCAGGATATTCCACGATTCACCCTCTATAATTTCCGAGCACCTTCAAATGCTCGATTTAAGCGCATTAAGTTCAGCAGTGACAAACACCAGATTCTGGCAGTGTGGTGGCAGCTTCCTTACCTTCCTCAGCCACCACAGTGAGGGTCACCACGTTGCCAGCATCCTTGATGAGCTGCACGATGCTGTCGTGGGAGAGCTCCACGATGGACTGGCCGTTCACCGCCGAGATCCGGTCGCCCACCTTCAGCTTCCCGCACTGGTCAGCGGGGCTGCCGTCGATCACCCGCCCGATCTTGTGGGGAATCACTGGGGATCAAGGACAGCCACAGCAACACCTTAATACCCACAGAACACCCTGACTAGGAAGGATCAAAGTCCAGCTCCCAGCCCTGCACAGGCCAACCCCAAAATCCCACCGTCCGCGTGTCGAAAAAGCACCGCGCGGAATCTCCACGGTCATCCCGGAGAGTCACTCCCGCTCCAAAGGGTGGCACTGCTTTACAAGGAAAACCTGCAAACCGTGAGGAATGCTCCACTGGGAGTGAGCTGAGCCAACCCAACAGCACGGCCCTGTCACGGTACAGGGTGTTGTGCCTGAAGGAAAACACGGCGAGGAAATGGGTCACATCTGCAGAGGGATGAGTGAGAGCGCGTGGCCCCGCAGCGCTCCGAAGCAGTTGGGTTTTGCCACTCAAAATGTAGTTTTCCATTTCATGCATCCACCCTGGAGCGCTGTGTGGGCTCAGAGACAATTATGGATATCCAGTGTAACACAGAAATCTGGATGCAGGGGTAAACTCTTCCTCCTTGCAACTGAAAATTAACCCTTAAACGCACTTCAAAGAGAAATCAAACTTGTCCTGCCAGGGACTGACTCAGTAACCTGGTGAGGAACTCAGCAGTGACCCTGAGCACACCCAGCAAGATGTGTTACATCAGCTCTGCACAGACCTCATCCCTTGCCCTGCTGAGATGAACCTGCACTTGGAATTATCTCCCATTTTATTCAGCTCTCCTGGGTTGGTTCCCTCAGTTCACCCCACAGTGGCACTGTGTCCTGCACAGACTCCTCCAGAGGCCAAAGCAACGGGGCCAGAACGGACAGAATGGGGAAAAGAGAAAATTTTAGGAAAAGCAGAAGGCAAAAAAGACTGATTTCAGTTCCTTTCCCAGAGGTGAACACAGAGGCAGAGCTACAGGCAGGAGGAGGGAGGGATGCTCCACTCCAGCACCTCTCCCATGGCTCAGCTTCACCTGTGGCTCCTGTGCTCTCCCCAACACGAGCTGTGCTGGTGCTCAGGAAGGGATCCTGTTTTATGGTTTGCTGCCCCAATATCATGTCTGCAGAATGCCCTGGGCAGCCAGGGAGCTGCCATGGTGACAGGAGAGACCTTCCAAAACCTGGGGCAAGGAGCGCTCGTGGAGCTGCCCCTGTGCTGACGTGGCCCCGACAGAGCAGATCTGCATCACATGAAAGCACAGCAGTCAGCAGCTTTCCCAGGCATCCAAAACAGCCTCTCATTCATCTGGATCCCTGAAAGCACATCAGAGTTGGCTCCTGTCCTTCCCAGATCTCTCCTCAGGGCTCGTCTGTGCAGGAACCGCTGCACAGCTCCTTTGTAGTTCATTTCCAAACACCTCCCAGACCAACCTCCACATGTTCCATAAATGCTTTTTCCTGGTACTTCATGTGAAAGCCTCTTTGCATCTCCAAGGCCTGAAGCAGGTTTGATGGATACCTGTTTTCCACGGGTGCTGCTCTCCCAAACACACTTTCTCTGAGGAACACCAAGCACCTGCCTGGATTATCAGCTGGCTTTCCAAAACCACCAGAGCAAACCTGAAACACTTCCACAGTGCCACAGAATCCCAGACAAACTGGTTTGGGTTGGAAAGGACCTTGAAACCCATTTCATTCCACTCCCCCTGCCATGGGCAAGGACACCTTCCACTAGACCAGGCCATGAGCCACCCAGGATTAAAAAGCCACCAAGGATCATTTTAATGAGCCAGCACACACAGAAGTCACTCTGAAGGAACAGACATTGATGCCTTCTAGCCTTTACCATGAGTTTAAATTTTATTTACACTTCCCTTAATAGACTGGTTTTTAAAGTATTATATAAACCTGAGAGCCAACTGTGAAGAGTGAAGCACTGCAGGGTTGCAGACTTAATTGCTGATTACTTGACTTAAAATAGCCTGGCTAAAATATCCTGGCATCTATCCTGAAGAACCCAGGAGCTTCACATTAAACTGTGGCACAGACAAGTTCTGCAGATCACAGCTTGTGGATGCACCAGTGCCTCTTTCTCTGTGTTAGAAACAGCCTGGACCACAGGCCTTGTTTCCAGCACTGGAATTGGTTTCAGTTGCCTTCTATTTTCAGTTCTAATATCAAATAAAGACGGATTTGCAGCAGATCTTCAGGCAAAAATGCTGTCTGTAGCACAGTTATATTATAATTTATATTGCAGATCATATGAGGAGTGGCTGAGGGAGTTGTTGGGGCTCAGCCTGGAGAAAAGGAGGCTGAGGGGGGACCAGGACCAGACTCTGAATATATGTCATACAAATTCAGCACAATGCTACTTAGAAACAGTTTTTTTCTGTGCTCCTGCTGGTTTTTATTGTGCAGTAAAATGAAGTGAGAAAACAGAAGTGTCTGAGGCTCAATGAAAAAAAAAGAGACACTTTCATTACTATGTCTGGAACCAGCTGAGGAAGTTTCAGGTGATTTACACCAAGGAACTAAAGGAACTGAGTATTTCAGGAGTTATCTGTACCTTCATGTCAGTGAATTGGGTTCATCTGTGGGTGACCACCTAAGCCTGTATTTCAAGGGCTGACAGAGATAACCCAAACCTGATGCCAAAAAAAAATAATCCCAGAGATGATCCTACTCATCCCATCGTGCCAAAATGACTCGACATCCTCTCCCTGGCCCTGCCAGGTGAGCAGCAGCCACCAGCATGAGCAACACAAACACACCTGATGGCCCTGAGCAGACCTGCTCCTGTGCAGGACCTTCCCCTGGACTCCAGACCTTCCTGCCAACAGCTTCTCCCTCACTGCTGGTCACATCACTTCTTTTGGTTTAGCTTTTAACCTTGGTTACTTTGCTGTTTATCCTTACAGCTATGCCTGAGCTATGTTCATGTCTCACAACTCCAATACCACACCAGGCTACTTTTTCATTTTGATGAACTTCACAGACACTCTCTGTCTGACAGTAACAACTTCATTGCTTTCCTCCAAGCACTGCAGCCTCTCCTTTCTCAGAGCCCCAGAATAAATCTTACCTGATTAGGTAAAATAAATTAGGTAAAAATAAAGCCAAGGCTGAAACTATGCTTCCATTAAAATGCCAGTGAATTAATGAAGTGTGAGAATCTACATCACCACCAAGGCCTGACAAATATCCACATCCCAAACACTGCCCTGTGGCAAGTGCACAGTCCTGTGGACAGGCTGGTTGTGTGGGATATACACTCCCCTGCTCCCCATTTATGTCACAGTTGGGTGAAAAGGAGCACAAACAAGAAGCAAGACAGTCCAAGGCTCAGCTGGCTGGGCTGGGACAGGGTGAGGGAAAGGTGACTGTGTGAGTAACACCAGCACTGCACAGACAGAGAAATCCCTGGAGAAGCTGCAGCCAGGCTGGGCAGTGGCAGAGCCACCAGGACACGGCACTTACCCCCAGGAGGAGGTTTGTTCTTGGAGGTGAGGATGACAAAGCCAAACCCTTCGTTCTCCTTCCGCTGCAGACGGACGTCGTACACCTCCGGGCAGGGCTGGCTGGCAAAGTCCCCCCGGCCGGGGCGGGGAGAGCCATTCTGAGCCAGGACAGGCTGGGCCTCCTCCTCCTCTGCTGGCTTTTCCCCTGGCAGGTAACAGACAGACAACAAATAAGGAACAAACCACACCAAGCAACTCCAGCACAAGTCGGTGGCAGTGCCAGCACGGGGTGGCAACAGCGGGCACCGATCAGAGCAGGGACCGTTGTCGGCTCTAAATCCCATCCCAGCTCTGTCATTCAGGGAGTCACGGACAATAATCTTCTCTAAACTGCTGATCTGGACACTGATCTAAAACTGCAGAATCACAAGATGCTGCCCTGGGTCAGCTCTGGTTTGAATGCTACATGATGATGCCAAAAGACTTGAGAATACGACACGTGGAAGGTCCCCTGTCTGTGGCAGGGGCTTGGGATGAGATGAGCTTTATGCTTTTCCAACCCAACTCGTTCCATGATGTACAGAAAACAGACTGGGTTATTACTCAATTTTCATAGCTTTAGTGGCTGTTTTAACTACTACCTGCAAAGAGGTTTGAAGAAATCATCCCTACATCATAATTTTCAGAGCCTTCCCTGTGTGAGCAGTTCAAATTAGCAACCACCAGAGCATCAGCTTATTAAATTCTGCTTTTCTCCACTTACTCAGAGCTACAGCTGACCTTCCTCAATCTCAGGCTGCTCAGCTCTAGTGCAACAATTAAAGACTGAAATAAATGATTTCAGAGCAGCTTCAGTGGATGCGCTTACAAGCCCCCAAGTGCTCTGTGTGTCCTGCAGCCCCTCTGGGCAGTCAGACACCTACCTCCAAAGAAGATCTTCCTCCTGACTGTGAGCAGGACCTGCCCATTCCGTGCAGCACTGGTCATCAAATCCAGAACCTGCTTGTGGGACTTCCCTTTCACGGGGACCCCGTCGATGCACATCAGCTCGTCCGCCGCCCGCAGCCGCCCGTCCTTCTCTGCTGCTCCCAGGGGGATGATGGCCCCGATGTAAATCTGTCACAGAGCACAGGAATGGGAACATGGACTCAGCACAACACGTAATGCTTGGAATCCAGGTGAATCCAGGCTGATGAGGGCTTTGGGAAGATGTTTTTAAAGATTATTTCCCTGTCCAGCTCCAGCAGAAACGCAGGCAGTGAGTGTGCTCTGCACAGGCTGACCCAGGAGACAATCCAGGAGCTCAAAGCACTCAGTACGTACTTTTTAAAAAGTTTTGGGGGATTTCTAACCCTCGTTTTCACGAATTCTGCTCCCTTGAGAATATTTGTCAGCTTGCTAAAAAGCCCAACTTTTGACATGAGCAAACACTTATAACATATGTGATTTCTCAGAACCAGTGAAACAAAAAGCCTCTGTCACTCATTCTACTTATTCCACTTTGTTTTACCAGGAGTGGGCCAGAGTTTTTGGGGAAGAAGTAAAAGCTTTTGAAAGAACTCAAATTTATTTCTGAGAAGTTGCTTAGACAGCTCCATGCTCCAAGCTGTTTCAGTGCTCAGCTTTAGGTGATTAGATAATGAATTCAAACATTATCAATTCTGTCTGCCCCCACCTCAGAAAGTGCTACTAAATATAACACAGATAAGAACACCACACTCTATTTCATATGCTAGAATCACTTTCAGATTAAAGGAAAGATTAAGGATAATTACAGCCAGTGCTGTTGGAGGTTAAGCAATGGTGGGCAGCTCATCTGTGCACAGCACTCATGACATCAGCTCCACACTTCCCAACAGCTATGGCTGTTATGGAAACAAAACACCACAAATGCTATAAAAAAAGTGCAGCAGAAGTAACATTCTTTGGGTTTGCTCTTTTCTTTAAATGCATGTTAGGGAGGGGAGGTTAAATAAAAAGAAAAAAAAAAACTAGCACAGGATCACAGCTGGGAATGGAAAAACTGAATTCCTTCACTGTAATCAGAAAACAATCTGTGTATCTATTCCAAAAGGTTTTCCTCTTCACTTGACAGCTGAAGGAAAGGCCCCTGACATGCAGTGCTTCTTCCCAAAGAGAAATCTTTGCATTTTTGGACATAGAGGGCAATCTTCTGGGAGAACAGACTATCCAGGGGTGTCTGCACTGGCACCTGCCCAGCTGCCTCCAACTCCTTGCACTTCTAAAAGCTCAGTGGGAGAAGTGGGGGAAAAGGGGATGTGACCCCATCCCAACTCTCACCTCATTTCACTGCATGGAAAAGAACAGTCTGGTGGGATTCTGGTAGGGTGAGCAGCCCCTTCCTTCCACTCCACTGCTCCGGGGATGTGGAGAATTAAATCCCAGGAATGTTCTGTGCCAAGGTCACCACTGGGATCAGGTGGCAACGGGCAAAGGTTGGGCACCAGCAGAGCCCTTTTGAGGGCTCCTGGGACACAGCAACAGCTGCAGAAACACCACTGGCATCATCAGCCTGACAGAAAACCACTGCCAAAGACAGGCTCGGGACTGAAGGCAGCCACAAAGAGGGGAAAAGAAAGGTAAACTGGATTAACTCCTGATCTTTGAAAGGCAGGCACTGAACTGATCAATTCTGCCATCACTGAAGTGTCTGGAATGCTGGGAAGTGAGGATTACAGAGGATCACTCTAACAGGAACACACAGGTAACACTGAACAGGTCCACTTACAGGCTGATCCGGCCCGTCCCCTCCAAGCACCCGGAAACCAAAGCCTGACTCTTGTTTTCGCAGGAAAACATCCAAATCTCTTGTGTTTGGAGCTAAGAAAAAACATTTCAAAACATGTAAGGAGCTAATCTTGGATTACTGAAGGATTACGCTTTGGTGGTGCATTCTGAGGTGTCTTATTGACAAAACACAGTAACCAGAAATACAGTAAATAATAAAACAGCCAGATATTCAGTGATGTTCTCTTTCCAAATGGGAAAAATCAATTTTCAAAAGAGAAATCACAGCTACATTCATGCAGTGGGCCAGGATAAAAGCCAGTCTAACACAGCTCAGAGCTACTTCCATAAACTCTGAAAAGGGCAGCTTTACTTCAGGACTAGATCATCCTCAAGACCATTTCTGTAATTAACTGTTTTACTGCAAATACAGTTAAAACATTTTAATTATTTTTTAAAAAACATTTTAATTGTTTTTTTTTTTTTTTAAAATGTGTTCCAAAGTTTTCTGATTCCTGCATGAATTATGCATTTTTTTAAACTTTTTATCCACAGGAGGTTAACAAAATTTTATCCACAGAAGGTTAACAAACTGAGTAACAAAGTCTCAGTAGTTTTACCACACATATGACAAAGAAAAAATTCCTTCATAATCGAGTATTTTCAAGTTGATTTACTCACGTTTGTCCTCATAAATAGTCTTAGACTTCAGGTAGACTTCAGAAGGGTCCAGTTTGGGAGAGCCTGATCGCACAGCAGAGGGTGGGAAGGGCATGGGCTGTGGGATGGGATCACTGACAGCTTCCAAACTCCCTGAACTGTCCTGCTTGTCCTTCTGAAACACACCCCACCCACAAAATCCAGATTAAACCGAAGCAGAACTGAACTTGTGGGGGCAAAGACAAGGAACACCAAGCAGAAGAGAAACAAGGGAACAGGGGAATAAAATTGTGACTCAGTGTAGATTTTCCAGTGGATTTGTCTGACCAGAGGACTGAAGTCTTCCCCTGTGGGACACAGATTTCTAGTGGAGACTGGGCTGAGAAAGGGGTTTGAAGGGGCTGATGCCCAGAGGGGAGTGAAGCTGGGCAGATCCTGGTGGTTACCAACACATGGGCTGAAGTGGGATGCACAGGACAGTCACGGTTGGAGAAGACCCCAAATCCTTGCCAGGCACCTGCCGGGCTCTGGAGCTCAGCCCAGGCCCATGGGCACACACTGCTTCACCAGGGGCACTGCCTCCTGCCCTCTGCCAAGGGCATCCCCACGAGCACCAGGGGTGTTCCCAGCCAACACCAGGAGTGCCAAGGGCAGTGTAAACACAGGCCAGGAGGACACACCTGGGTAGTCTGAGGCATTAGAATTCACTATTTGCCTTTTCATGACCTGAGAGCTGCAACAGTCCTGTCAGTATTTCCCAAAGAAAGGACACCAACCGTCCTTGTGGTCTCTCACCCTGATTTCCAATGAATTGTGCACTAAAGTAACTCCAAATACTTACTCTGGGCAGAAACCCAGCCTGGAAAACTTGCACGTGGCTGAACCACAGCACGAGCAGAGCAGAGTTAGATCTGCCCTTTCACCAAGAGCACAAGAAACTGCCCTGAGCCATATTCAGCAGTTTGACACTTCTTGTATGTTTGTTTATAAACACAAGAACTTGCCCTTTTTAAGTGAGTTATTTTGCCACACTGTTTAATGCCACTGAGCATCGAGTGCTCCATGGGCTCCTGCACGTGTTGGAAGAGAATGCCAGTCCCCAAATCCAAAGTATTTTTAGCATGGGAGCCACACTGCCAGGGCCTGTGCCCTCCAACTGCAGGGATTTCTGCCCTGATTTATTCAGGGTGGGCAGCTGGATGCTTGCAAGGGATGGAATCTGCAGATCTTATTGAGCACAGTCTGCTGAACACGTGTGTCTGTGTTATCCCACTGCTGGGACACGACTTCAGCACCCAAACAGCAGGATAAAGATAGAAAGAGAAGCTACATCCACACTGTGGTAATGGGGTTCTCCTCAAATGCACTGATTTGTTCTGTACAAGAAGCATTTTTAAAGAAACAGCTGTGCTCAAGTAGCCTAATTTATAACAGAAACATGCATGGCAAACATATGCATTAATATCAGCATTATTAAATCAGAGGGTATTTTATTAAGCCCGAGGATTCTTTACTGAGCTAATATATAGCAAAGATGGCCCAACAGATTGAACTTCCAAGAGTATCAAGCCAGAAATGCACAGCTACACAGAGACCTGCTGAAAATATGGATCCAAAGATAAGCATTTCCAGAAGGGAGCACTAACCAGTCCATTAATTCTGTGTGAGGATTGAGAAGAATCAAAGTATCATAAACTTCCTTTAGAAATCCCATTCCACTTTAATAATTAGCAATGAAAAAAAGTAGATACACTCTATTTTGTTTCCCTTTTAATGAGTACTCTGACAGCAGCTGCTTAAGACAAAGAATTTGTGCCTGCCAAGTAGACGTGGTTTTGCTAAAGCATTTTGTAGATTATTACAGGGAATAAAATCCAGAGGAAATGAGATTACAAAGCAGGTCAGAGCATGCACACAATCAGCCATTTCAGAAAATAATGATAGAACTTGATAATCATGACAAACCAACAATATTACACTTATCATCATACCAGACTGTTGCTGTATTCTTGATTCTTCAGTAGTAATAAGAGAGATATCCATCATCTCCATTAAACAGCTCAAAAACCTCAAAGGAATATTTCCTGTTCATTAGACCATATTTAAGAGTCTGTTTTGCAACCCTAAACCCCTGAATATTCTCCATTAGAAACCAAGTTAAATACATCCCCAATACTCACCCCTTTGGCAGTTTTAGTAGGTGAGGGTGGACCTGAAGAAAATAGAAAGTAATTTCAATAGTAGGTTCCTAAAAGTTTAAACAACATTATAGCAATATAATCAGCTCCTCCTGGGGTGAAAACAGTAACTTCTGCTTCACTCTCCTTTGAAGTGACAAAGTGACCAAAACCATCACTTCAGAGAAGTCTCAATTAGAATTGAAAGCTGTACAACAATGAAAAATATCTGTTTCTCTGTTTGCTAAACACTGGTCAGTCAACCAAATCACCCATCAGTTCCTGGGATAGGCAGACTTGTGAATTTGTCTGAGGGAATTTCACTTGCTACAAAGAAATCTAATTATTCCCTTAGCTTATTAGGGAATAGTAGCATTTCTACAGAAAAAGACCTGGAGATTTTTGCAAATATCAGTGACTGAAGTGACACTCTACATAAAGCCTGAAGAGACACTGAGCAGCCATGAGCTGCTTCATAATCCACTCAGCTCCCTCTGAGAAACACACACTCTGTACTACAGTTTTTGGGGAGAAGGTGCATCATGGTCTGTGACTGACAGTCAGCGCAGGGGTATAAATATGCAAATGAAAAATCAGAATTTTTCTGCTATACCCAGTGATCAGCTCCACCTCTGCTGATGCTTCTTCCCTATCTCCTGCAATCCCCTGCCCATTACAGCCACAGTTACTGGAATGCATTTGGAGAGCCTCAGGAAACTCAGTCCCATCATATGCTTTGCATTATGCTGGAGACCACGTGTTTGCTTTAGCACTCCCCAGACACTTGGAAGAGACAGTGCATAAACATATCATCATATAACTTTGGGAAAAAAAGAAAAAGAGAAGAAAAACCAAACCAAAACCCCAAACAAAACCCTAGCAACCCCAAAAGCTCAGGGGGATAAATTAAACTCAGAACATAACAGCTCAGAGTCATAATGAGCTGCTGCTTAGCTGTCAAGACTGGACACGATTTAGGTATCACACTAAAAAAGGGACTTTATGAAAAGCTTATAACCAACATGATAACTGTAAATGTATGTCTGTACCTCCTCTTAAGATAAGCAGTGGCACCTCTGCCCCTACTGGGAACTGCTTGAGCACCTCCACCACCTGCAGGTGGGTCAAGCTCTGCACGTTCTGGTGGCAGATCTCCTTGATGACGTCGCCTTTCTGCAGGCCCTGGCACCACTGGCTGTCCAAAATCATCTTCACCTTCTGCCCCGTGGGGCTGTCTGCGATGGCAAACCCGAACCCTTTGGGCCCTTTGACCAGGGGGATGGTGACCAGCTCTGGCTGGGAGCCCCCCGAGGAGGCCAGGGAGACCCTCTGCTCCGCCGCGTCCACGGAGGGGCCGTTCAGGCGCCCGTTGACCAACATGGGGCCCATTTTCCCATTCTGGTCCAACACAACTGTCCCTGCTATCAAATCTTGGCTGGGCACAGCAGCATCTCCTCCCTTGGCCACCGGAGGGCCGTTGATGATGGGTGTGGCTGTCACGATATCCACCACGGGGTCCTCGGTGTCGTCAGGGAGGGGGTAACCCCGACACAGGGTCATGTTCACATACTGATTGACAGGAACCAGCTGGAACATCTGCACAACATCTGCATGGGTGTGGCCGAGCACACAGCTCCCATTGATGTCCACGATGACATCACCTGTTGCAAAAGGAAGTTCAACAGCGTCAAAAACAGAAGCAAAACCACCCACACCTGGAGCCAAGAACAAAAGCCTTACCTGGAGGAAATCACTGGGCAGGCTTCAAACTAATTGGCTCCTGGCTAATGTTGCCAAAAAGCACGCAGGATTTCCTCTCTGCTTTTATTCTATTTCATCTCAGAACACAGTGTGCTAAATATATAAAGTTTAATCTGCAGCAGATTTAAAAAATGATACTGTGCAGCCACGGGAGATGAAGCAGAGCACGCACACTCCTGCAAGCAGATGTCTTCTGCCTTAATTCATATTGTCCAGCATCCTAAACCCAATCCAGAATAAATCGGATTTTTTTTGGCCCTGTGTTTATTTTAGGACTGGCTGAACTTAAGCTAGGATTGCACCCACACACATTCCATACTATTACACTGCTGCCACACGTGGCTCAGAAGGTATTTTCAAAATAAGTGAAAGTGGGTTTCGGGTCCTGAAACCTTGTTTTGTGTTTCTATCATTTTGATGTGAAACTTTGCACGTGCAATACAACATTCCCTGCAAACTGCCTTATCTCTCAAATGCCTGGGCATCAGTAAAACAGGAACTCCCTTATTATTCCATGAATTGCAACAGGAATAGCTGCACATCTTTTCATTCCAACAGTTCTGCGGGTTTGTTTTCACTTTTACAGAGGTGGAACACGAACCACACGCAAACAAGTTCAAATAATATGTCAGCAACAAAATAGGAAATTGTTTCACAAGTAAATAGAATTAAATCATTCAAAAGTCTTCTTATCTGAAGAGTTTATGTGATACATAAAGAAGCATTTTGCCTTTCCTAGTATGTAAACCTTATAATAAGCTGAACTTAATTAAACATATAGTAACAATGAAAAAGTGTGCAAGTCTTCATGGACTGTAGGAACCCTCATCTCTCTTCTTTCCTCACTTGGCCAGCTCACACAGCTTTGCTTCCTCATTCCTGCTGCAGGTTTTTTGCAGTTTTAATATTTGGTGCTATGTTTTTTGGCAGCAATGAAGCAAAACACAGACCAGGATTCAGTAACGCTGTTTTTCCTTTATGTATAGAGAGGGAACAAGTCTGTGAACAACCACGAAGTCAAATGTCTTAGCTAAAGTACTGAAATCTTCAGAAGTGTCCTCAAAGTAGATTTTTATCTAGAACATTGCTTCTTTTCTTTTTTCAGCCACTGCTCTGCACAGATCTTTCACAAATCTGAAAACTATTTCATTTAGTGAGGATGTGGATGGAGTCATCCAACCTCCTGCGCCTCGAGCTGTGCTCTCCAAAGCACCCCAGGAAATGGAAGTTTTAGAGAAATAATACTTGACCTGGAGCAATTCTCCCATCTTGTGCAGCAGGTCCATCCTTTAACACATTCTTCACCTGGAGAAACTCATCAGGCCTGTCCCCCCCGATGATTGTGAAGCCAAATCCCATGGTGCTTTTTTTCAGGGATGTCCTTATAAGTGCTCCTGTGAGCTGGGATGGATCTCGAGTGAAGAGAGACTTCCCTGGTCCTGTTGAATTAGGGAACAGAGAGACAGGAAACCAGGGTTAGCTCTGGTAAGTTTTTGTTTGTTTTTTTTAAGTGTCACGAAGGTTAATGATTTGTTTATTGCTGGTTAATCTCTGCAGCACCATTGGGAAGTAAACAAACAGGACAGTGTTACATTAATTTCCCACCTGGGTCTAGGGAATGGAAAAAATAAGAGGTTTTTAGAACAGATTGTAACAGAGCTGTATCTAAACCTCCCACCTCGAATTCCCAGTTGTAATCCTTGAATACCAAGCTTAAAGTAAATCAAAAGCATGAAAACTCCAGGTGTGGTTTTACCTGCATCTTCCAGCTGGCTCTTCTAACCCTCCACACATCCCAAAGCTGCTTATGACAACCAGCTTCAGAATGATCAAAATGATTTAAAAGCAGGCTTAGTACCTCAGTTCAATTTTCACATTAAAAAAATCCTTCAAAAAACCCTACAGATTTGGGAGGGCAGCACTGCAGTGGCCAGCAAAAAGACAAGGCTATAATGCCTTGATGAATTCCCAAACTGGGTACTTACAAAGCACACCTGCAGATAAAGACAGAAGTGACAAAGACCACAATAATCAGTGATACCTGATTTGGAAGGGCCAGCATCAGCCTGTCCTAGCTGCTTTTTCCTTTTGGCTTCCAATACTGGATTTTCAAACTGAGTTTTCTGGTTAATGTGACTGCAGACACAGAAAAGGCAGGTCAGGGTTTCAGCAGGAAACATTCTGCCTATTGCCCAAAATCACAACCCCAAAGGATACGTCTACAAATGCTATTTTTTAATATCTCAGATGAATGCTCTGGAGGAATGAAGGATAAACTCCCATAATCAACCCTGAAAGCATGTTTGTTCTCTCAACAACCTGATTTACTTTGAGAGCCAATAAAATTTTACTCCCTTTAATTACTAGGTAGAGTTATAATAGCTTAGAACTGAGCAAACCTGCTTTTTCTCTTGACCCATCTACTTAAAATGTTTACAAACTCAGGCATCACCTTTTTACAGTAGATGCCAGTACAGTACAGAGGGGGAAAAACAGTAAATTTGAGCATAATTTAAATATTTCGGCTTTGCAAAGTGAAAAATGTTTGCTCTTTCTCTGAAGCTACATTTTCAACTCTACCAATTTTCTTCTCCACGGTAAAGGAGAGATTTAATTTCCTCTGGCCTGGAGGAGATTCCAAAGAGCTCTTGCAGCAGTTTAGTGGTTATTTACTTGGCTCTTTGGAGACAGCAGTGAGCTACAAGTTATTTTTGCTCTTTTACAGTTATCAGGTGTCACTCTTAAATCAAATGACCTTGTTTTTGTTAAAGCTAAGAAAAATTACATCAGCTCATTCACATTAATAAATTACTTTGGTTGCTACTTGCTTTCCCTCCCCAAATGAAATACACTCCAGTAAGTCTTCAAGGTCACACCATGAATTGTCCCACATGCCAGTGCTGCAGAAGTTTGTACCATGAACTCACCGCTCCCAGAACTGTTTTTACTGGACATATTTAAAACCTTCATAAAATCCCAGAATGGTTTGGGTGGGAAGGGACCTCAAAGCCCATCCAGTTCCACACCCTGCCATGGGCAGGGACACCTTCCACTAGACCAGGTTGCTCAGAGCCCCATCCAACCTGGCCTTTCACTGCATTACAACCTACACTTATCAAGCATTTGATTATTTCCTGCTCAGTTCATAATGATGTCAAACCAATAACTGGTACTTACTCGACATAGTATGTTCCATACTGAGGGTCTTCTATTTTCTCCCATCCATAAGGAAGTTCTGCAATCAGAAAGACCAAATTCTTCATTACAGTGGAAAGCTATCTACAAATATCAGAGATTTTATGAAAGATCACATAGACTCATGGAAAACATGAGGAAAGTACAGGTCCTATTTTCTTCCTTGATGAAGGTTATGAGTTTGTTCCAGGGAATCTGAAGCCCTGTAACTCTCACTCTTTCTTCCACTAGATGATGAGACTTATATTCAACAAAAATCACACCACTTTAAACATACAATAAACTTAAGGACCTGTCTGATAAAGGTCCTGGAAGTTACATGAAAAAAGCTCCTTTCAATGGCAAATTAAAATCTGGTAAGATGGTGCCCAGCAGCTCATGACTGACTGAAGGTGGTAAGCAGTTACCACAGAGGTCAGACTATTCTAGTTATCCTGACTATGGTAATTCAAATATTAGAATAATGGATACAGCCAGGTAGCCAGGCATTTTAAGGATAAATATGCCCTGCAATCTTGTTGGAGGCTGCCCTAAGTTTGACAGTAACAGGAATTTCCCGAGCATATGACAGCATGTTACCAATTATTAATACCAGCATCACTCCACAGGGTGTGACAAAAAACCCAGTGGGTCTATTCATTTAAATATTGTTCACTTGGATACCCTGCATCTCTGTTTAAAGTGCTCTTTTTATCCTGTGGTGAGCTGCACATATGTTTAATAAGCAGCCATTGCTCCAGCTGGCTTTATTATGGATCCGTGGCTGTTGGGCTGGGCAATTTTGGAGCACGACAGGCTATTCTGAAAGCCTGCCTCAGCTTTTGGAACATGTCAGGCATTTGCTGAAGACAGAGCTATCTGATACTCTTCTCTAGCTGACTAAATTGCCTGGCTATGTCGGAAATGGTTGCAGGAATTGCCTGCAGGCCACTCGTGGACCTGACCTGTGAGGCTTGAAGTGACAGTGGGAGGCATTGAAGGGAGTCAGATTGTTCCCTCTACTTCTGCATTCAAACAAGGCATCATGTCACATGCAATAGTTATCATTAGCAATATGTATTATGCCATATCTTCATTATTATTTCTATATTCTGCTATTTATGGGCCTTCTCCTCCTGCCATAATTCCACCCGCACAACAGTGAGATCGTCACTCACGTGCAGCTTCCTCCTTAGCAATGACAGTCACTGGAACAAAACATCTCCTTCTCTGCTCAGGAGTGCAGATAAACCCTTGGTTCAGCCAGATTCTGCTATTCCAGGGAAAGTACACCATAGGCTTTCCCAGTCTTATGTAAACTCCTACAGCCACCAAACCAGGGAGACTCAGTACGACGCTGCTCCAGAGTCACCTCGACCAGGAAGAAGCTTCTACCACAGCAGTAATGGATTGTATCCAGCTGGGATAAACTCAGACATTTATCAGTGACAGGTGACAAATGAATTCTGAACATCTCACCTCCATCTTCACAATCTTCAGGGGCTTTGGCCTTCTTACAGAGCCGGGGGTCGAGCCACGTGGTTGTCTTGGTGTTGTGACTGTGGAGCAGAACATGGGCCATTAAAAGAAGAAACTCCCCCAGACTGAAGAAACTTTACTTAAGTATTTACTGTTGTAGGGAAACTGCAGCCTTTAGATAATACAACCTTTATTTGTGCCTCAGTCACATCATAAAACTGCTAAAAAGAAAAGGCACCAGCAGAGTGGAGACTCCCCAGAGACACAAACCCTCTCCCCAGACCCCAAAAGCTCATGTGGGAATAGCAGCTGTCTCTACCTGATAGGAAAAAATATTTTTAGCCTCTTCATGTGCTTAACTCTCAGGGAGGTTTCTGTTTCATTTTTGCCTTGTAATTCACAAATGAGGCAGTTTCACAGGTGCACACATGAGCTGCTTCCCTATCCTGGACTTTCATCTGGGCTGTCTGTATTTTGAAACATGCATTCCCAGCCCAGGAACACAAGCAGAGAAGAAAGAATAAACAAGGTCTCAGATTTCAGAGAAATCTGACATAGTGAAGGTTTCTATAATTATATAATTAAGTTATAAATATATATATATATTATATAATTAAGTTATAATTCACTTAGCAATACCCACCCAGCTTTGTATTTGTGAGACACAAAACCTATAACAAACAAACTGACTTTGCAGTTTTCCTGCACAGTGGCAACTGCACCGAGTGTGCAACATCAGCAGGGATTTTAACAGCAGGAATATACTTAATTTCATAAAGAAACAGAAGCAGTAAGAGCAGAAGAGAGGTGCAAGAGCAGCAGCAGCTTCCCAAGCTGCAGGCAGCAGCACTCCTCCCCCCAAAGGGCACAGCAAACCCTCCCTGGTGCTGGTTACTCACTCGATGAAGTAGATCATGCCAGTGTCTGTGTAGGCCATCTCCCAGTTCTTGGGAAGGGGCTCCAGGGTCTCATCCCTCGACAAATAATTTCTGAAGTCCATGTTGCTGCTTGTCTGGTTGTAGCTGGGAACAGGTTTCATCCAGTCAGGAGAATCTGAATGTTTTTCTTTGTTTTCTGCAGTTGTTCAGGGAAAGTGTTACTATTTGTCAGATGCTTATGTTGTTTCTCACAAAGAACCACCCTCTTAATCTGGCTACGAGTGGATGTCAAACACGTCCCTGTATGTGATGTGCATTTTTCCACTTTTTTTTTTTTTTTTCAGCTGTGAACTTTGCAAAGCTGACATGAAAACACTGAACTCTGCTCTTCCCCTGCCAAACAGAATTAACCTTGTATTATGTGTCTGAGCCTACCCTGAAAAAAATCAACGCTGGCAGAACTCCAAGTTGACTACACTTTGTTGCTGTTCCTACAGAGAGAACAGTGTTTGCAATGCCATAATACAACCCCAAAAATCCTACTAATATTCCTCGAAGCACCAGAAGGAAATGCAGAGAAGACCCAAACTGCCAGTAAAACAAACAACATCCCTTCTGCAAGCCACAAGCATAAAAAAATAAGTCCCAAAAATCCCTGCAGGAAACTTTAAAATGGAAACCTCCACCCCTCAGAGCTGAGATTATGCTCAGTACTCTCTGTAACATGATGATGCCCACGACCTTCACCCCACCACCAGCCCCTCTGTGGTGTTGCCAGCCCTAAAACTGGCAAGTTTAGGTCAGGTCTGGTCAGTGTAAGTCTGTCTTAAGCACTCACACACAGGATCAGCTGCAAATGCAATGTGACAGCTCCTCTCCACCATCAGTTCTTCCCCCTCGAGATGAGTAACCATGACAGCAAGAGGAAAAGGGCATCCTGCCAATCTAGGAAAGGTCCTGCTGGACACTGCTCCAGCCTCAACACACTTGGCTTTATTTCTCTCCACAAGCTCTCCCTGGGTGGTTTCAGGTGGTGTCATAGTTCCCTCAACCAAAATCATCTGAAAATTTTTACAGTACGAGCTGGTGCTGCCCCTTAAACCAATCCCCTCCCTAAAATCTCCCGTGCACCAACCCAGTAACCGCCTCAAAATTAAACAATAACATTTACAGGGCACGAATTCTGCCCCGTGAAGGGCTCTGTTTTCTGAAGAGTGGATAAATTTTTCCTTCCTGCCCATGTAACTGGCCCATCCCCAGCACCACATGTTCTCCACTGAGCAGTGCATTCTGTGATGCAATTGCACATCTGGCTGGGGGAACAGCTGGTTCTGTTTAAAAGATCATTTCAAAACAGAGCAGAAGCACCAGCCTGAAGAGAAACTGCCTTCAGACTTGAGCAAAACTAAGGAAGCAGGAATGTTATTTGTAAACTCCTTATCCATTTATACAATACTCCAGGGAATGTCTCCCCTTGTCAACCAACCTATCCCTCCGCTGCCATTCACTGCCTCCTTTTCCTCCTCTTCCTCCTCTTCAGGGAGAGAACTTTCCATCCTCTGCATTTTGCTGACAGAAGTGGTTCTTTTCCTCTGCGATTCAGTATCAAAATCATTGTCAAAAAGAACTTGATCCACTGGATCAGGCTGGAAGGGGCTGGGCTCTGCTGGAGGCTTTGGAGTACCGTAAAAATTACCTGAAAATGAAGCAAAAATCAGGCTCAGTAAAGCACTGACACTGCTGAAAGCACTGGCAGTGGCTGTGGGTGTCTTATTGCCCATGTAAAGGTGTTTTGGTGAAAACTGAACTCCTCAAAGAAAACTCCAGCACTATCAAAACCCAATCAACAGTCAAAGCCTATTTATTCCTGTGCTGACTTTTTGCCAGTGCTGCTATTAGATATCAGAAAACAAGAGGTTTAATTCAAAATTTCTATCCTGCCACAAGTTTTCTAGAGAAAAAGATGGATTTGTTACTTTGTCTGGAATTCACTAATACTCCATAAAGAGACTTGGGGAACAATCTGAGAGAAGCAAAACAGTGAAAATCAATTTTTCTTACTCCATACACTAATTAACAGAGTAATATGCAAGAACAGAAACACACTGAATTCAAAAAGCAAATTAATTTTGTGCAGAAAAATAAAGTATCTATTTACATAAAAGCAGTTAACAAAGAATTGATTTTAAAACCTTCAATTTTCTACTGACAACACACTTGCTAAACAAAGCTGTTAATATGGCTTCACCTAAAAATGACTTGTACTTGAGAAAAAGGAACAGATTTTTGCCTTCAATATTTTAATCTAAAACACAAAGGAATCATCTGCTGTTTTCTGGAAAAGAATTTCAGCAATTGACCTCTCTCCTGACTGCTCATATGATTTTTATTAAGGAATTGAGAGCACAGCAAGAAAGCTTCCCAGAATTCCTGCTGGGGTAACTTTTAGTGCCTGGATATGGTTTTGACCATGTAAATAAAATAAATAAGAATCCCTTCTGCAAATATCAGTGAGGGTGAGGCTCAGAGTGGGGACAGTCAGATAAAGGGCAGCTAAGGGGAAACAAAAAAGCACCAGTTTAGCCTAAATTTGCTCAGGAGATTTCCACAGAGAGGACAATGTCAACAGTGTGGGACATGGAAAACAAGAGGCACAGAGCCTGTCACAGGATTGTCTACTTAGATAGTTTATTTTCTTTTCTTTTTTCACCACCTTCATTACAGTGTTTTTCCCCACCACATTTAACAAAACCAACTTTGTTCCAGATTTGGACAATCTGGTCTAGTGCTGCTCAATTTTTCACTGGAAAATGCTTTTGTTTCCCTGCTGGATCAGAATTCCCCTCGCTTTCTGCCCTTTTGATGCACATCTGTGAGGAGAACGTGGCCCTGTTCTCTGAGCTTTACACAAAAATCAGCTGAATTCTGTTCAAATTGTACCAGGCACAGACAAACCTTTTCAGAATGCTTCCGAAAATGCAACGAGGAAAATAATCAGGTGGCATTAAGGCTGGTTGAAAGGACAACCTGTGATTTAGCCCAGAGCTTTAAAACCAAATCACTCCCCCTCTTTTAAAGGTAACCCAAAAATAGACTCACTACTGCCTCTCTGCTACTTTCAGATCATCAAATGGGCAGGAAAAGTGGCACCACAGGAGCTACACTTGGACTGAGATCCTGGACATGAGTACTGAGCCCTTATTCCCATTCCATTAAACATCACCAACGTACCATCATACGTTCCACTTTCTAGCAAGGCTCCACTTTCTTCCAGTGCTTTAAACTGCTCAACAGGAATGAAATTATAGTCTACCCCAGGGACTTCCCCATCTCTGGGAGCCCTTGTAGTGCCTGCAAAGACAGAGAAAACACTCTTGTAAGATACTTAAGTGCTGCCTGTTACCAAATGCTGCCTGCTGTAAAATTCAGTAAAACAATGTATTTTTGAATCTTTATACAGTGATGTCACTCCAGTAAGAGTTAGAACAAATGGTGAGCAAGTGAACAATAATGTATAAAAACTGGGCCAATAAGTTCCATAGGAATGACAGTTCTGGTACTGACAGAGGAGGAGAGAAAAAGCTGGATGAGCTGGTAATTACAGAGAATTCTTTCTTACGCTCAGTGAACCAAAAAAACAACTTCTGTGGCAGCTGACGACGCCTGGGCCAGGCAATCCCAGTCTGGGATTCTGGGAACAGCCGTGGTATTTTATTTGAACCCAGCTGGAAGGATGCTCCATCTCCCCCTGCTTCCACCAGTACCAACTCTCTAATTTGCAGTGAGGTCAGCGTGACTAAGCACGTTTGATTTTTGGGTCACCAAATCCATAACTAGGCACAAAACTTATTTTTTAACCTTACAATTGAGAGTGTAATTCAGCTACACTCCAAGCCCTGGCTGTAGGTCAGCTTTTTCAAAGCAATCAGTAAATTGCTGTGTTAATGCAGAGGTTCTCAAAGGGTTGTGTCTATGAAAATAGGCCTCCCATAGTTAAAACAGCTTAATTAAAGCTCTCCTGGAAAGGACTGCACTGATTCATTACTGCCTACAACCTACCAGCATTTTAAAGGCACATGTCAATTTTGTCAGGCAGCAGCATGAAAAAGAGCTAGTAAATAAAAGATAATAACAGTGAAATGCAGTTTAAGAAAGCCACAAACTCTTGGGCGTGCTCAGAGAGAAGAGAACAGAGTTCCTGTAAATACAAAAACGTTAGTTGACAAACTTATAAGTTTTCAGTGCAATGAATATTAAAATCCAGTCGGTGATGAGCCTTTTGAATCAGTCTGTCTTCTCAGGATGATCAAACAGCTCCCCTGCACTCTCTGCCACTGTCACCCCTTCTGCACACAGCCCCTCCTGCCACCCTGTTTCTATCACTGAAACACTCTGAGCCTGGAATTCTGAACTTTTTTCCTCTTTTTCAGTCCATACTGGCTGCACCAACTCGTGGCAACTTCACATATCAAGCTATTCCAGCAAAGCCAGAAGTTCCTGCTGCAAGGTAAAGCTATAAACCAGATTAAGAGAGAAGGCAATTAAAGCTCATAAATGATGTGACTGTTAGCAGGAACAGATCAAATGAGGCTGACCTTTACATACTTACAAGGGATGGTTCTCAAGTAGAGATTGTCTCTGATCACTTGCTGGAGTTTGTGGTCTATCGAGCCCTTCTGGAACTGAAGGCTCAGGTAGTGGCGCAAGTCTTTGTTGATGACTTTTCCTTAAAAAACCCAACAGACGAGAATAACTTGTAAAAATTAAGCAGGATCTCACCACAAGAATTCTGTTTCACTGCTATAAATGTTTCAGAGAAAAAAAGAAAGCAGTGAAGGAGTTGGGTTGTTTTAAATGCAACGACCTGAATAGAAAAAAATATTCTGTGGGTTGGAAGGGACCTTAAAGCTCATCTTGTTCCAGGACACCTTCCACTATCCCTGATTGCTCCAAGTCCTGTCCAACCTGGCCTTGGACACTTCCAGGGATGGGGCAACCACAGCTTCTCCCGTGCCAGTCCCTCCCCACCCTCACAGGGAAGAGTTTCTTCTGGCACGGTGATTTTAAGCAGAGCTGAGCAACAACCATCCAATGCCAGCATCTCCCAGGCAAGGCAGTGACAATATTCTGGAGTTGTTTGAAAGTCAATAAAAAGCATTCAAATAGAAAATGTATTACCAAAATTCAAAGTCTCCACAGACAGCAAACTACTGTCACTGTATTTTGAAGCAGTTTCCATTCAATTTACACCTACTCACTAGTCACCTGAGCTCAACATTTTGTCACAAGGGAACCTGCATCCTTGGTATTATAAAAAGAAAATATTTCCTTTTTAAAAACACTGCATAGTAGAAGAGAGTTGTTTTTTTTTTTTTTTTTTACAATTACTCCTTTGCAATACTTCTGTCGGGTATCATTAGTGAATCTGTCACATCACTGGAGAACCACGGCCCCTTCAGCACACAAATAACTGAGCTCTTGTATTACTGCCTCATCCTTCTGACAGGAGGGTACAAACCAATCTTTTGTACCCTGTCAGCCTCCCAGAAAGCACATTAAACAGGGTTCAGTGACCTTGGTAAATTTAAGTTACGTACTACAGCAGCACACTCAGGGCTTTAGGAAAAAAGCTCAGCCTTTGTCTCCAAACCCAGCCCAGGAGATGGGCAGCAGCAGGAGAGTGCTGGTGTAGCACAACAGCAGGGAAAAAAGCTGGAACAGAGGGCTGCTCCTGCTAAATTACGTCACCAACAGGTTATGAAATGCATAAACCTGCCCTAGGAAAGGTTCTGACAGGAGCCTCTGAAAGCCTGTGAGCCCAACTGCTGAGGAGAACACCTCAACCAGGGCACAGACCCACATCAGCCCTCGCCCAGAGCTCACCTGCATCTTCAACCAACATTTCTGCACTTACATAAATGTCACATCTGGAAAAAATCCCAACACACCCAAACCATCAAAACCCTTCCACCGCTAACCAAGTTTTCCCAACCACGTTTCACTCCCAAAAAGTTCAGCTGAATGTTTTGGTTGTGGCAAGTTTACACTTTCCCCTTCCCTTCCAGCCAAGTTAAGGGCAGGTCACACCTTGTACTCATCTCTCAAACACGACCTCAGCGACCACCACCGACCACCAGCAAACAGAATTTCAACCTGCACCCTCTTCCCTCCAAACAAAACTGTGGCAAGTTGAGGAGTATTTCCAAGTGGAACCAAGATTACCTATCAGCCCTTCAGAGAGGCCTGTGCTGTCCACAAATTAACCAAAACCCAAGTAAAACCACCTTAAGCCCCCAAGCAAAGAAAGAAAAAGCTCGGAAGAGGCAGCACAGCCTGTGCCAAACAGGAGCCCTGAGCTCCAAAGGAAGTCGATTTTTCACCTGTTTTAACACTTAATTTATTTTAAAATGGCATCCAAACCCACAAAAATCATTCTGCAGCGCTAGGACAACACCTCAGCATCGTCCTTGTGGCTGTCCATAGTTCCACAAGCAACACAGCAACTCCCACTGAAGTGGATCCCACTGAATCCTCCCAGGCATGGAATGTGCAGCAGCTCCGCAACCCTCGGGGCCAACCCTGCCTGGTGTGATGCCACTGAGCCCCCTCCTCAGTTCCCTATTTTACCATCATGAACTGTCCTTTATAAAACTTTGGATTCTGCTTTTGCAGCATAATGAGCAAAACATGTAATGGAAAATGAAAACAAATGGGGTAATCTCCAGGAAGAAAAGTATTTTCCATTTGTTACTACAAATCACTTTATTGTTTGTAGACAAGATGGTTTCTCAACACTAAAAATATGGTTTACTGCTAAAATGGTCCATCCATCTCCCTGTCAAAGCCTGATCCATAGCTCTGCACTTCAGCAATCCCAGCATATTTCACTTAGGCAGATCAATACCCCCATATTTCACTCAGGCAGATGAATCTGGTCATTAGCTACGTTCAGAGCGCTGCATGTCAGAAAAAACTTGGCAAGAGGTGAAAATCTGCACTGTATGTAGAATTACAGAGACTTTATTTACTCACTGATCTTCCCCTCTTCGTGTTTTAAAATTTAAAAGCTCATAAACCCTTTTCAATAAACATCAACTCAGTTAAAAGACAAAGTAAAGGCAAAGCTGCTGCTAAGGATACACCCACACTGAGGGGTTAATCTCAATATTAAAACCTTAAAGACTGGAGACCAAGACTCTGAGCCCAAGGTGACTAAATTGAAGACTGAAAGGGCTGCCTGGGGAAAACAGAGGAAAGTCAAACAAAACAGCAGGCAGAGGGAAAACGACAGAAAGTCACACAATGCATTAGGAGGCAGAAAAATATAGTAAGGATGCTTTAGGCAACCTCCAGAGCTTGTTCCACGCAAAAGCCAGATTATTTCCCCTCCAGAAGCTGAACATGCTCCTTTACATTGTTTCACGCAGGCTTTTAGGAGAACTTCATGTATCAGCCTCTCCGAAATGACCTAATAAATGTCGGGTTGGTGTTTGTTGTGCTGCTGAGCTGCCTCTGAAGGACGACACAGGCAACACAGGGACCAGTCAAGAGGAATAATGTACTTTATACCGTTCAGGTTCTGCAAGATGAACAGGCACAAGCCTCTTGTTTTCAGTTTTAATTTAAATTAACCACGAAAGAGCTGTTTAAACGAGGATATGCACACTGCAGTTGGGCAAGAACTAAGTGGCTGCAGAAGGAAAAAAAAAAAGGGCTCGAGTGTCACTGCAGCAAAACACAGCGCTGGGAAGGACAGAGGCAAATGAGTGACAGGGACATGGTGAAAAACGGGGGTGGTGGCTCTCACAAACTGTGCTGGTGAAGTTGCCTTTGCTGCTGTACCTAAGCAGGACGAAGAACAGCTATTTATACACCCAACCTGTCATGGAAACGCTCGAGAACACACACTGCAGTCACAAACGGAGGAGCATTGCCATGGTGCTGCCAGAACTCGGCACCAAACCCCCCTCCTAGATCAGAAATGTTGGTAAAACAGCAAAGTTCAACGTTGAAATGTGCAAGTAAGAATTCAGTCTGTGCAGTTTTTATGTTGCTGTTTGGTAATAATGTCATAAGTGCCCCTGGCTAATGCTGCTGGTATATGGAATATCTGTGATGTCCCCCACTAATCACTCTGAAGACCACGTGGAAATTTTCCACATTGTTCTGATGAAGCTTTTACACAAACACAGGTGACAGCCTTCCAGAGACATGGAATTCTCTGCACTGCTGGGGAGTGATGCCTGAAGTTTCCATGCCAACACCTTCTGGAGACACTGGCAGCTACAGGCTCCCAAGGAGCTGCAGTGCTGATGGGTGACTGAATAAGTGGACAGTGCTTTTCTCTCAAACTTTTTGAAAAATACTTCACTGTTCATTATAAAAGCAATTTTTCAAAGTAGCAGTTTATTAAAAGCATGCTGCTTTCCTATTAAAGTATGTAATTTATTACCAGGGCTTACACCTTCGCTGTAGCTTTTAGCATAAAAATGCAATTTTAAGTGAAGAGGTGAGAAAATGGAATTGCATTCCCTTGTTTTTAGTGGAAATTTTTAAAAGCTCAGCTGCAGTCCTGGTGTGCTCTGCTGGTGAAAAGTAAAATCATAGAATCCTATAATGGTTTGAGTGGGAAGGGACATTAAAAATCATCTCATTCCACCCCTGCCATGGGCAGGGACACCTTCCGCTAGCCCAGGTTGCTCCAAGCCCTGTCCAGCCTGGCCTTGGACACTTCCAGGGATGGGGCAGCCACAGCTTCTCTGGGCAACCTGGGCCAGGGCCCCCCACCCTCACAGGGAAGAATTCCTTCCCAATACCCCATCTAACCCTGTCCACATGAAGCCATTCCCCCTTGTCCTGTCCCTCCATCCCTTGTCCCAAGTCCCTCTCCAGCTCTCCTGGAGCCCCTTTAGGCCCTGGAAAGGGCTCTCAGGTCTCCCTGGAGCCTTCCCTTCTCCAGGTGAGCACCCCCAGCTCTCCCAGCCTGGCTCCAGAGCAGAGGGGCTCCAGCCCTTGGAGCATCTCCGTGGCCTCTCTGGACTCGCTCCAGCAGCTCTAAAGGGGTCCCCAGGGCTGGAGCAGCTCTGCAGGTGGGGTCTCACCTGAGGGGGCAGAGGGGCAGGATCCCCCCCTCCCTGCTGCCCTCCCTGTGGGATCATCTCAGCACACAGGGGGTTTTGGGGTCCCAGCAAACGTGGCAGGAGCACATCCAGCCTCTCACCCACCACCACCAGCCCCCACCAGCTCAGGGCTGGGAAGGCAGGAGCACTCCCAGCTATTCCCGCGGTGATCTGCCGCCATCTCCCGGCACCTTCCAGCTGATCCCCCTTGTTCCCCCCCTTTCCCACTCCCCAAATCCACCCCAACCCCCTCCCCGGGGGGGTTTAAACACCACAGAATGAAAATCACACATGGCATACACTGCCAGGAAATTTTGTTTCCTCCCTCAGAGCAGAGCAGAGGGGAAGTGTAACCGGAATTCCACGTTCAGAATCCCCCACACATGGGAAGGCGATCCCGGAGCTGCCTGGTGTGTTACATAAGCTGGGACTGCAAAAGGCCACCCCGACCATGAAAATTCCACTGAAACACACGTTAGGGGGCTGTAAAACAGCTCCCTGGCTTCGCTCACAGGATAAACTAAACCAGGAATTAACAGGGTTCCTCAAGTGGAAAACAGTTACTGTTTAATTAAACTGGGCTGTCAATACTCAGAGTGAGATTAAG